AGTGTTTCTCTTTCCGTTCCCTCGTGGGTTGATCGATTCTTCCTTGAACATTGAATTGTACCCCCATCCCCCTAATCCCCACGGATGCACTCTAGATATTGGACTCCCGTTTGCGTCGTTACCAAACAGAATCCTCAGCTTAATTTTATTCGCGAACGTGTATCGTCGTAACAATTACACCCAAGAAAATATATTCTTCGCGTGTCCGAAGTTATTTCGAGTTCAACATTACGTTGAAAGTAATTTTTTTTTTAGAAATTCCTTCGGATGCTATTTTTAATTAGGCCACCACGTGTTAATTATAAGAACACGTTCCATTTAAACTATTGTACTCCGCGAGATCAAAATTAATTAATGTTTTGAACATTCTAGGAGCGGCACTATTAATAGTCGTGAATATTGCTACACTCTTGCAATGTAATCAGATTACTCGATACATGCAGAGCACGTGTAGCACATGGTGGAGCTTGTGAATGTACTGAATGTATATCCACGTACGACTATTAATATTGCCACTCCCATAACGTTTAAAACGTTAATTAATTCTGATCTGATACAATACAATACATAGAAAGTATCTTTACGATTAACATATGTAGGCGTAATCTAAAACAATTCCCTGAAAATGTTTCTTGTAATATTTTGGATCTTCTCTTGTATCGTGCTTCAAATTACTAAACAAAAAGGTCAAGGATTTTGACAAAATTGGAATATATTGTAATCCGCGTGAAATTAAGTGTTTAGAATGCATTCAGGAAATATTAGGATATTACTTTTCCTTGTAGTTTTAATTTCGAAAAAAATAACTTTACAATTCACATAAAAAAAATTGAGATTTCCTGTTCGATATATTTCGTTAGAAACAGGCGCGTAGCCTGTATTTTCACGGTGTCTAACAAGTGGAAAGTGAAACAAAATTGGCACTTAACGCGTTAACAACTGTGTACTTAAAGCGAAGTGTATAAAAATGATCTGGGTTAGAATTAACACAAGAAAAGACCGCGTGGACGGTACTTTGACTTTTCAGGGGGGGTTAACCTTGGCCTAGCCTAAACGTACGCTGGATTCCATTCACCTGGCGCGATCAACGAAACCGCTCGTGGATAACGAAACGTTTCACCTTGTTTTCTGGCCCGCGTCGTGGGGTCAGCTTTTCCCGGTATCACCTGTTCGAGGCGACCTGTGACGCTCGCCGTCCGTTTCCGAGAACGATGAATCATTCTGTACTTCCTGCGGCTGGGGCTTTAATCAAACTTTCCAGCGAGCAACGATCGTTATCGCTGTACTCGCCGCGTCAGCGTGCTCCGGCCAAGAAATGGGGCGAGAACGGTTTAATGGTTAACAGGTACAAATTTCTCCCATTAAAGTGAAATTCCCGCGCAACGCGGCAACACAATCGATACGCATTCTTGTTTTAATCAGCCAGCAATATGTACGCCTCCCTCTGTTATGTGCGCGCGCGTTCCCAGGGGCGGGTCCGGTACACTTATTTAAGGGGAGGGGCACGAAAAATATCTAACAGTATACTTTTAAACTTTCAGTCGTTTGATCCTTCGACAACAGAAATGAAATATTACTTTACGTAGCTTTATGGTTAAACTGTACTTTCTTGGGAGCCACTTTTTCAAATATTTACATTCGAAAGTGTGCAAGCTAGACAATCGTTCATAAAGTACAGAAAAGTTGCTAGTTAGAAAACCAGCTAGTTAATGGCAGGCATTGTTTTTACGAACACTATTTCCCAAGCTAATATTGCATAGTGGGCCAGATAAGCTTGAATGCATTCCATGAACTTGGAAAAAATATATATCAGTGGTTGCAGGATTGAACGCATTAATTACTTATTTATACGAATGTATGTTCGATAATGTTCACGGAATGGAATATATTTTTTAAAGATTTTATAACTTTCGCGGGAGGGATCCGCCCCTGCGGGTTCCTGGACGACCGCGAACGAACCAGAAACATTTGGCCTTCGTTGTGGAACGAGGTGCGAATGAAATCGTAAAATTGTTTACTTGGCTAGATATACCGCTGGAGGTAATTAGTGAATGAATAGAATGAGATAATCAACGGCTCGAAAGCTATTCGCAACTACGCTAACCAGAAATTCAGGAAGAATCTGACGCCATTAATCTCTTGACGCGCGGCGTGCCATATGTGGCACGCACGAGTTCTGATTACTACATTTATTAAGTTGCATCGTAGAGAATTGTTTGTATATTTGGACCGTATCGTACAGCTTGGTACTACAAATTTAGTACACAATGTATATTTAAACCAATAGGCGAATATAAAGGGAAAGCTTAAGACGTCAAAGCTCAAGATAAGACCAAAACCTCCAATTTGAATTTTAATTACTTTATTCGTTGGCTATATGGAGCTTCTAGAGGTGGAATTCCCAAATGTTCGCCAAAGAAATGAAAAGAAAGACAAGGGAAGCTCTAAACCACATTGAATATTATGAATTATCGTTAAGACAAAAATTAGTGTTTAGTGTTGCACACGAAATATTTTTGTATCCCTATCCTGTCTCCAGCTTAAACGGTGTTTAGTTTAAACGTAGAGTCATAAAGGGTTGAAAGCGGAGCACGGAAAGATGAAAGGGTAGCTCTGGGAAGTGTTTTTAAAGCGTGATGGCGCGGTATGAAAGTAATTTCGCTCCCTCGAGATAAGAGCGACGACAGGCCTCGAATTTTTCAATTTTGCGCCTATAGTACCGTGTCAGTTACTTAACATTTTTATTCTGGAATTACTAAAAAATTGCGTAAAAACAATTCTTCAGAAATTGGATTAATTCGATAACGAGAATTATCTACACATAAAATAAAAATAAACTAAATTTTAAAACGCACGTGGTGATCAATGTAATTTGTTTGGACTCCATTTCATCCAAGGCACGGTTTAACAAATACTGAAGAGTATCATATCAAGCGACTTACCCTGTACATCTCGGCCAAGTCTGCTTAAAGAATATATATCCTTGCAATAAAATTACACTCATCTTGTAGAAAGACGGTGCGTTAATGCTAAAATAAAAGTGTCATTGAACAGAATGGAGATGTTGGTTCGGGGAACAAGGAAAGCTGGATTTTGGTAAATATGGTAAAAAAAAACAGAACGCAAAATGGCACAGCTTTCCTCGCCACCCAAGGGGTACTGTGCCGGGACGCGTTCCCGTTATTTTACATGGCGGGGATCCCCAGGAGGCCTACACCATGCCACACGGTTCGTCCCGTGTGGAGAACACAAAAATGGGGAAATGAGAACAGAAAAGGGTGGAAAGAGAAGTGTATAAATCCTTAAGCCATCAGTCTCGTGGATGTATGCAAATCTCGTAAGAAGTTCATCTTTCTGATACGAAGTCTTAACGTTTAATCAGTACCCACGGACGACGTCGGGGGTGGAACGCGCGGCATACGATCGTCGAATACCGATAATCAACCTCCATTTACGCGGCGAAAGTATTTAGGCGTGCACACGACGACCGTTCGTCGCGTTATTTTCGATTACGTGCCACGTGCAGCTGCACTTTCTACGATCCATCGCGGGAATCCGTAATGTAATACGCGGCAAAAGAATCGAAATCGGTCTCGAAAAACACCGTCGATCCCGATAGATCGATTATCGGTACCCGCTCGATCGCAGTGCACCCTGTCTATGAATGGCGGATCGAAAGTTACGGGGGAGAATGTAAAACGATGCATCTCGCGTTGGAGGAATGAAACAACTGCCCGTGAAACGGTTGGCTCCGTCGATACTGTCGTCTACGAAGAACGACGTCTCTACGACACCGAGATCGTCCGTGAGTGCTCAGAGAAACTTATCGCTAAACGCCAGCGGATACAGCTGGCGCGTGTGCCTTACTGTTAATCACTTAACCGACTACCTGTTCCGTATACCTCTTCGATGGAACCGAAATTCGAAATGGAAAAACGAAGATGCCACTAAAAACACGTTAGAGCCCGATGTGCGCGACACACCGATCACCGGAACTCAAGAGGTGGCCACGTTACGGAAACAGGATCTTTTATACCCTGGAAATTATTGATTTCCTACGGTTGGCCAGGCCGATGCACGTGCGCAGGTCCTTCCCCGTGGCGCACGAGCATACCACGTCGGGCCAGGCGAAATAAATAACTTCTGATGGAAAGGGCCTTCCCCTGCGCGATCGTTTCGAAAGGTCAGAAACTGAGAAAGTTTCACCGGAGAGTCAATTGCCTGTGTCTTTATCGCTGGACGACGTAACGATATTTTGGAAGGAATTTCGTTGGAGCCTACCACCGTAGAGAGTAAATAAATCATATGGTGTAGGCCTCCGTATGGGGGTGGTATGGGGAATTAACTTTTCGGAAGAGTTGAGCAAAATATTATCTGATACAATCAGGATTACGATCATTATACCTCGATGTAATTTTTTAGAAAGCTCAGTTTTGTAGAAAAGCTTAGTACTGTATTTACTTGGTACTGTAAGTAAATTATGGGGGAGCCTGCATTTACTGATTGGTATGGCAAGAACCTTCCAAGGAAGCTGAACAAAATGTCAACCGATCGGCATTCCACGATTGCAACTAGGATTCCAATCGCTAATCTCAATTCCAGATTATATTTTGTAATCGTTATACATCCTATGTTTACCAATCCAATCATTAAACGTAATCGTGTCTCGCTATGATTACAGTTATTATTTCTCGATTTGGCCGTTTCGAAAGGTCAGAAACTTATCCAATAAACTTAATGTACCGAAGAGGTATTTAAAACTATAATTAAATGAAGTAAGGAATTAGTAAAGCTGTTTTAGCATCTGCTAATAAAGAGATGTACCGCAAAAAATATATGGTAAATGGACTAATAGCACAAAGGTCTACTCGTATACCTCGTCTGTGGCATTGCTATGATAAAATAAAGGTGAACATCGAACGAAATGGTTGATATTCTCTTCGGTAGATGGCAGATCATAACGTTTCCTACAGTCGCGAATACAGCTTTGTTTACGTGATCTAGAATGCGACGTACATTTTGCGTACTTGACGATAGTGAAGGGCATACATAGCAATTAAGAATAGTATTCCTGTACAAATGGCAACGCTGCTGACGACATAGCGATCGATAATCACCAACGAAGGAAATTAAGACAATTGAACTCTTTAAGTGTAACACAATGCAAAAATCGCAGACTGCTAACCAGACGTGGTCATTTCAGTAAGTAATTTGTGTAATCTACGATAAATCCTTGACAGAAATATTATCCCTAAAGTACGAAATTGACACCTAACAAGAACATACTTTCTAATATGTTCTTATTTTCATTTTAAAACGCTTTTTCAGCACAAGTGACAGTGGTAATTCTAATAATTTATGGCCAGAGCTTTGTCAAATGAATCAGGTCAAATGTTCTGTACGCAAAAAAGAACCAACAGATACAGAAGAAAGAATAACAAACTTGGATGATTCTGAATATCCTGAATTAAGCAGTTCAATGATCGGTAATAAGAATTGTCTAACAATGAGAAAACAAGATTTGTCACAGCCTATTATTGAAATTTTTACACCAACACAATTAAACATGGAACCAAAGAGGCCAAAAAGGTTCAAGAGAACAGACAAAATCTGCATTAACCTTCAAGAAGCTTTGCAGGTAAATATTAACATACAGAATTATTTGAGAACTTATTGAATTGCTATAAAATAAAATTTCTGTACAGGACACCAGATGCACAAATAAAATTAATAACAGAGCATTACCAAAATTCAGAATTAATATTTATAAGGGGACTCCCGGTATAATATCGTCAAATATTGTCGACAGAAACAAAATTTCCAATTTGAAAAAAGTTAGGATATGTATTTCCAGAGATAAGAAACCCTCAAAATTGAAAAGAATTATTTTATTAAATCGTGATATCAGAGCACATATAAATACGCAAAAACGAGAGGCTTTCGAACGTGAGAAAATGCAGGCTATTTGCCAAGATGTCGATAATATTAATTTCAACGCTTTAAAAATTACTGCTGATCCTGAGATAGACCTAAATTATGTTAAACGTATGTGTACGATGACACTGTACGGTAAAGATTATGGATCTAGAAATGTGGAACATATTCCTGAAAGTTCTGTATATCACAGACCAGATGTTATCAAGAAGCTAAATAATCTTTGCATTCAAGGAAAATGTATGTCAGTTGAAAATAGTAATGATCAAACTACTTATGAAATATGCGACGATATAGTTGAAAATAGTAATGTTCAAACTACTTATGAAATATGCGACGATATAGTTGAAAATGTTATAAAACGTACATTTTCCCTTGACATAAAAGAAGATATTAAACAAGAAATTAAAGACGAACCTATGAGTAACACTAAATCAGACATTAGAAATTTTGTAATACATTCTCGAAATTTTAGAGAGTAAGTATTTCAGTTTGTATGCACACGAATAGCAGAATATTCTGTATCATGTGCATACAGTACTTAAATATCTCTACATACCGTCGTACAATATTATAACATTAATTTGTATGCTTGACTCCTTAATTTTTATTTATGCAATAAATATTATATTTTGTGTTATTAAAACGTTTATCGAAGTTGTATTTTGTAATCTTTCCTATTCCCTTTCTGCAATTATAACCTCGTAAAATTAAGATTCATATATCCGATAACGACGCTGCAGTATTTATTTTGCGAGTTGGCACATCTTGCAGATACTGCACGAACATGTTAACACCAAGCTTGACGAATAGCCTAGAGATACTTCTACGAGAAATTAAAAGACTTCAAAAAAGGCTGCACGAGAAAAATCCGAACAAATCCAGATATAAACGGCGTTACTATGCCGGTTTGAAGGAAGTCCGGAAGCACGTTGAATTAAAGAAAATTAAATTTGTGATTATCGCACCTGACCTTGAAAAAGTTGAACTCGAAGGTAAATGCAACTGTGTATTTTAAAATTAAATATTCGACTGCAGGACTTTCGCATGTTATACCGTACGTCCAAATTTGCATATAATATTTAAACAATTTATAACATTACATTACCTGATCGCAGGTGGATTGGACGATCAAGTTGACAAATTGCTCGAAGCATGCAAGATACAGAACGTGATTTACTGTTTCGCTCTGGGTAGACGGAAATTAGGATATTATTCTCACGGAAAAGGACTCGTAGGCTGTATCGGTGTCGCAAATTACAGCGGTGCCGAAGTAGGGTTCCTCACTTTTTAAATAACACGCATAAAATGAATATTTTGACCACTCACATCTATCTTTGCAGGAACTTTTCAAAAACGTTTTAAGAGAACTGATGCACGCCCGGAACACATTCAAACAACTGAGTGGCGCGACGAACGCCATCATCGATCTATCGAAATTAATTTCGGACGATTATCTGCTCTCGGAAAATATTACCACTCTTATAAACGTTTTATCGCCTAATTATATACATTGCAACGTGCATTCCTAAAGAAAATGTATTTAGAAGTGTAGTTTAAAAATGTATTTATTAATATTCATTTCGCGCCATTTGTCGGAGTGGTGAACGACCAATCACGGATCGATATGTAATCGAATCGACAATAGGCTTCCTGTAGGTGGGACTGCGAATACGATATTCAGTTGTGATACAAATTTTGTACGTTTTATACGTTTTGGTTAGGTTTAAATAAAACATGAAACGTTCTCCTCGTATTCTTTTGACTGTATTGCCCCGATTGGGACTGCAAAGGTAATAAATTGATAACGTTTAGTTGAGATAATGTCGAAATAACCGCCGATCATTGTTGAAGCACAATGGAACACAACCTCCGATAATCGTATCGACCTCACCAGCGAACCAGAACTCACCAGGTAAAGCAGATTGATCGGATACACGTGTTTAACCGTGGGCAGTGAACATGTGGGCCGCGTTCCAATTCTACTGAAGTGTGGAGAAGAGGATGTTCGATTTGCCGAGTCTGTGCGTCGACGCCGAACGAGAAATTTCAAGCTACTCGTTCGTTAACGATGTACACGCGCATGCTGCCATTTATCCTAATCAAATGTAAACACGAGACAGGTCCATGATGTTGCCAGTGAACGAAACTGGTGAGTGGTTAGTGTCATGGCTATGCACCAGGTGTACTCAGCCTCTTACTCGTCGATAAAACATTGAATCGAAAACATCGAATCGCGAGTAAGGCTGGGACATCCTGTCTATTCGAATTAATATAACATCTTTAATATACGAGTATTTTGTGAACTGATAAACTTTACAGATATCTGTAGTACAATTAAAAATTTAAGTAGGGTAAAAGTGGATTATAAATCAAATTCTCCGAGTCTATAGGATTTGTTTAAGATTTAGCTTCATTCGTGATATATTATCAACGATATTGCATATAATATTTATATTTTGTAGATAAAAAGTAGTATTACCTACAGGACGATGATGTCACTCGTAATTAACCTCAAATGATCACATGTGACTTACCATACACTAATGTAAGTTGTAAAGTAGCTCTGTTTGTACATGTTTATATGCAGACTGTACATCACTTTAGATTAGTTTCAAAGAATTTGTGATTCGAAACAATTCGCGATAAGATATAATATTTAAATATACTACTAGAATTCGATAATGATATTCGAATACACGAATAATTAATGTTTATCCGTTGTGTTGGAGTTCTTGTAAAATATTCGAGTAATAAATTATTCGAATAGTCTCAGCATTAGTCACGAGCGGCGCGCGATGCTTGGCTGCCCCCAAAATCAAAACCAACGCACCGATGTATCTCGGTCAGACGCAGATACTTGGCTTAATTAGCGCATCGGTGCGCGTGGAGCATACACTCGCGATCGTAGGAGGATTAGTATCGATTATCCATTAATTTTAATGAAAGATGTTAATCGATTCGAAGTGTAAACGCTTTATCGCCCCGGTTGCACCGATCTCAGAACTCGTTAGCATTCAGTTTCTTGCACTTCTTTTCCTTCTATCGGTTTGACACGTTCGACGTACTTAATCTTTTTAGCTAACAATAAACTGTTATAAGTAAAAAATGCGGAGTAGAATTTTTCACCTCGCAGGAAAGAATTTCGTTCCGCGTTTTCGACTTATTTTTTTTTCAGGTTAAATCGCCTTTTACTCACGCCGTGCCATTCTTTTGTTAGCAGGAGATCCTGTACCGTACGGACTCCAATTTAAACCAAACACGGAGACCTATATTACCGAAACTGCTTCAAGAATGCGATGCTCAGGGTTCCCCGTCGAATTCCACCGGGCAAGATACCGAAGGCTGATGCAAGATGGACACATTCGATTGATTTCGTAAGTGAAATATTGAAAACTTGTATAGTAACTTTAATCAGCCACTTTGGCGTTATAATACTCGTCCTCCGTAGCAGTAGAAGATTCATTCCTTAATATCTTCCTATTGTTTAGTTACTATAGTCTTTTTTGCAATATTTTTCATTGGAATCTCCACAATGGAAGTACGTTTCTCGTCGATATATCGAACATCGACGTAATTGGGACCAATAATTATGCCTATATTGTTTCGATTTATGTCCCATTGAATAAAATCTTAGGAGCAATCTTCCCAATAATACCGCGGTAATTATCGTTATTATTTTGACAATATCCGTTTAATCAGTGCTTCGGATGATAATTCTTACTTAAATCTGGGGATAATAAATCAATGATCGAGCAATGACTATGTGTACCGCTTCGAACATTATAACTTTGGAACTTTGTGTCTGCTACAGACTCGTACGGGAAACGCAATCATAATAATACACATGCTCGAGGAATTAAACAAATGTATTTTATTATCCGAGCGCTTGTGTTCGCAGAGTTTCATCCAGTAATGCTAGGATACGTATGGTTAATTAATTCACTTTATAACTCCTGAAGAGGGCCGGCATATAGCTGAAACGTAGAGTTAATAAATACTTTCCTGGAAATGAGTCCTCCATTACGCCAATAAAACTCGCAGATATTCAAAAATTCTCTTTATAATATCCAATTAGAGAAGCTACGTTCTGCTGCGATGAAAATCCTTTTTCCCTTGTTAACTGCAGCATGTGTCCCGCGGCATGTTAATATTAACCATACGCGCTTAGAATTATGGAGGAATATTATTTGTTTATACTCGACCAACCGAGCTCGTTAGTTATATAAACTATTTTTGAAATTATATCGCTTACGGGATATGTTTAATTTTAAATAAAGCATCTGAAAGATGTCGATTAAATGAAATCGATAAGTCCTTCGCCGATTTACAATCCGAGGTCCCGTTTCCGAGATTCGAGCAATACAATTCACCGCGCATGCGTTAATATCCCAATTAGCTGACTGCGTGGCGCCACATGCGCGATCTCAAGCACAAAAACTTCGAATGCTCGTATCTCGAAAACTAGACCTCGGATTGGAAAATGGTGAAGGATATTTCAATTTCTCTTCAATGTTTTGTACGCAATTCTGTATTTATTTTTTTTATATAAATGCAGAATATTTCGTACCAAACGCAAGTTATACACTGCAGAGTTTTTGGTAGTAACGATAACGCGATGTCACGAAAAGTTCGCTAATCCGAGGGTTAATAATGTTGAAAATTTTTAAAGACGGTGGTGGTGTTTTTACTGAAATTTTGTCCATCGGCTGTAGGCCGGGGAAGAGTCGAGCAGCCCATGCAGGGCCCCGGCGGAGAGAGATGCACGGAGAGGCCGCGGCTGGGAACGGAGCCGGGCAGCGAGAGGCTGCGGGGGAAGTGGATGCCAGGCCGCGTGTGTTGATGCAAGTGCGGTGACTGTACGGTGCTGACTGGCGGAGTCAGTCAGTCAGTCAGTCAGTCGGCTCGGCACCGGCCGCGACGCACGATCGCGTGGATTTTTCTTGGCTCCGTGGCACGTTACACGCCTCGACGTACGTCGGTTCCGTCGCACGTTCGCGCGCTACCCTCGTCTACCTGTTGTTCGTCGGCCCAGTTTTTCCAGCGTGCCCGATTTTTTTCCTCGCCACGAACGCCGACTTGCGCGACCCGCGTCTCTCGGTGTGCCTCGTCCGGATTACCGGGTTCCCCGAAATTTACTGCGCTGGATTCAACGTCGCCGACCGTTTGCCAGGTAAGAAATACCTTCGTTCCGGTTTCGACCAGAGATGGGGACCATTCTTTCCCAAATAAACTGCCCAATAACGAACTAAGGACACAACGTTCGTTCGTTGCCCGAATCAAAATTGGAGTCTGAACTATAGAAATCATATAGATATGTTTATTCGTGTCCTTGCAAATTACAATTTTTGGTATATTATATCAATTTCTATGCTGATTATCGGATGTTTAATATTTGAGTAAAGCTTTGCCCGTCTCTGGCCTTGAAACGCTCGTTTGGAGCAGGGACGTTCGATTTTGGATCGACCTTCCCTGCTCCGATTTTTGCACGTTCGATTCTGGTACTAATTCTCACGAAATTCTATTATTATTAGACATGGACATCATTATTTCTATTTGATATTTCCAACGAATTATTGAAAGGATACATGCGATTGTTGCCAAACAGTACCTGTCAATATTGTGGGAATATTCGTTCTAGGAGAACGGTTATTATACGAAACAAGCAGTATTATGATTGATAATTGCTTCTGATTATTATCCAGTTAGATTATTTCCATCGTGAAATGCCTGATAAAGTGATTTGTTTATTACTTAGTTTCAAGTTAGGACCGTCAGTTATCTTGATTTACCTCACCAATTAGATAAAATTCTCATGAAGATACGTATAATCATTTCATATTGCATTAGTGACGTAGGATTGCTACGAAAAGAAAAATGGTCCCTCGAATCGACTCTAATCACTACGATTCATACCAATTAACGATTCCAGAGCAGATGTTTTACACGATATTGGTAGTCTTTGCTAGAAGAATCGATCATTCTTCCGTGAAGTATGAATCAGACTATTCCTTCGTACATGCTTTATTATGATTCTACCGCAATTAGACAGTGGCAGGTGTAATCTAATTAGAATTTTATTCTTCTCTTCGTACGTCACAAAAATAATCGGAAGATGTAAATTTCGACCCAAAAAAACAGTTTGGGAGTCACTGGACCAAAGATTTCGAGATTTGCATATGCGAGATGGAGTCCATTTTTTTAACCAGACAGGAGCGCCCTCTAGTGCGAGGGATTCTCTGGCATTCCGCGCGAGAAACCGAGCGCCAGAGGTCACGTGACAGCGGGACGCGAGAACGAAAGGAGAAGAACCGTTCCTGCGAAAGAGAATCGACGCAGCGTTGCTCTCGAGCTCGTGGCCGACGGGTTGAATTATTTCGATGTCCCGTTAGGCGTCAACGATCGACGGAGATCGATGCTCGTAAAATTCGCGGAGGTCGACCGGGACAAATCCTCTCTGCAAATCCGTCGACAGCCGCCCGGTGACTTCACAAGCGAAACGGGAAAGTTTACTTTTTTCTCACCCCTCGTTGGACGGGATTCGCGATAATTCGCGAAACCGCAACCTGGTCGGACAAAAACCAACGATTTTCCACCGACGACGATCGCGTTGTCTCGTTCGAATCGGCTGGTTTGTTTATTTTGTTCGCGTAATCGCTTCAGGAATTCACTTGGACGGTCCCGGCCTTCGTTTCGGGTCCCTTCGATTTTCAGGCGTCGTTGGTTCAAGGGTACTGATAAATTCTCGATAACGCGTTCGATTTGTCAATCTTAGTGACTCAACGTACATAGAGGATATATTGGTACTTCGCAGAGTTTGTACAATGGTTTCCAAATACATATTTGGGAAGCGCTTCTCCTAGATATAACGAGGGTTCACGATGGAAGCAGTGAACTATGATTGCTTCGGATGATCGTTGTATTGCGTCACCGAGTAATTCTTGTTTGGAACGGAGATGACTATCATGTGGAAATAGGGTGTGTCACTTCTAGATCTTCGGTAATGCGTACGATCTTCTTAATGATTCAAAGTACGCGTGAGATAGTATATTAATGTGTACTTCCCACGTCTGGAGCAACGATTTCCAAATATTAGGAAAGTACTAGCTGCGGATGATGACTTCACAGTTCAAGTCTACTTCTTGTTGCTTTGTATGCAGATAACTGAAATATGGAAATGGGACACCGGTCTTTGGAGTTGCAACAATATTAATGATGCGTTCAGGAAAATGTTGAAAACAAAGTTGCCAAGGTCTCCGTATATATTACGCGCAGACGGCTCTAAAATCGTAGATAGTGTCTCGACCGTCCGTGTCCAGCAATTGAAGCAAGAAACGTGAGCATAAATAATCGTGCATCAGTATTTACAGCTGAAAGCGTAGCCATTGGCAAGGCCCTTGATACAGCTATTAGCTCCTCGATTAACACTCTTCTGACCTGCACAGACTCGCCATTGCTATTCATGCTCTCCACACGCGAACAGTAGTGAAAGAGAATCTTGTAATCTTAACAAGTACAAATTCAAACCAATCAAAAGAAAATTCATCGACAGGAAGAAAGTATTTCTGTGCATTCCGCGAGGACAGATCTAAAGCAACGTTTCAGAATCTTATCTGGAGCATGATACTCCGTGTTTTTACGTATACATAGCATTGGAATCGTCAGGCTCGAACGAGAGAAACCTATTAAGTTCGGTAAGACTACTTGGAACAGTCTTTCGAACGTCGTGTACCCTGTAGCAGGGATTCTCGAATAATGCGCAATGCAAGAATCCTCAGGAGCCGTAAAAGTTGGGGAGTTTGGGAATTTCAACAGTTTCCAGTTGAGCCCTACACAAACAGAGTGTAAAAGTTCACTACAAACATCCCACTGAAATTGCCAACAAACTGATTACAAAATTAGATGTAGCAGGTGGCTTTAACTCTCCAGAGGCATCACAGTCCGCCCCAACTTCTTCTTAACCCCACAGTGATAAATTCGCTATACCGGAGACCCGGAGAGAATGTCCCTGGATGAAGCTTAAATTTATCTGGTATTTTTTTTTGGAAAACTTCATTGCCATCACCTTCATCCCCGATCTTAGTCCCTCGATTTGAACTTAACCTAAACGGACTCAGATAGAATCTAAGAAACCAGAGCTAAGACGACGAAGAAACATTTTCTAAATTCAAATTTGACACAGTTGGGCTTCGAAGAGGAACAGGTTTCAAAGATTACCGGTAAAAGCGTGGGTGCGGTCGAAACGCAAAAGTCACCTAACGCCTCCGCGACGAAAGCGTTAATTGAAAATGCAACCGAGGGTCTAGCGTTCCAAAGGCAATTTTTTTATCGATCGATGACCCTATTCACAAACGACGAAATTCTCAAGGATTCGCGACGCCGATCGCGGCACTTTGTCCTAAAGTGGGCGTCCGCGTACACTCCTTTGTGTACGTTCAGATACGATCGGTTTCTCCGGTCGTTTCAACGGAATCGATGCAATTAACGGTACAAACGGAACACCGTACGGGACAGGATCCGTCGCGTTATCGGTCGTGAGGCCCGACGACGTTTCGTCCATTCGTTTTTCTGATCGCGCCGCTGGCATCTGTCTGGCCTAGAGATGCATAATCAGCGCGATAAACACCGAATACGGAGGCGTGTCGCTGGAACGCGCGGCGACAACCGTGATCATCGGTGACTCGATGGAATAGTTATTTTTATCCGAACGTCCGACGTCGTGTCGCCATCGTCGTAGATGATCGAGCTCGAATCGCTCGCGGGGCCCTAAAATCCACAGCTAAATAGTAGTTGAGACTTTTGTGCTCTCCGGGCTGCGCAGGGAACTCCCTTCATTCTTCGAACCACGACGTCCTGCTCTTAACAACCGTTTCTTATTATTCGAATTAGTAGCATTGTTAGAGAATGGAGTTGTGGGACGGACTCGTCAAACGATTCGGAGAAAAGCGACATAATGTCGTTGCAGTCGAAGGTTGTCGAGGATGAAGAGCAGTTGGTCCTTGGCTGGTAATTTTAGAATCAATCGTTCATATTTCTAAGTGCAACGAACGTTGTTACTGCCTGCCATCCTGGAATCTGCTAGTCGGACTCATCCACAATTTAATAATGAATCAATAATGACGACGCTGTTCTCTGTTTCATGCGTCGTGATTGCAAACGTGGGCATCAGCGACACTGATGACCCAGAAAATAATTTATCGCGACGCGAGTTCGGCTCTATTAGAGATATTATTACGTATTAACGAGCCGTTAAGCAATCGAGGATTGTTTAACGAACGATTAATGGCGTTGTATCTGAGGCCCGATTAGGTAAGCGGTTCAACGTGCAAATCCAGGATGAGACACGGTAATATTGCTATTTGTACCGTTGAAATCCGGGTAGGAGGAAAGTAGACCGAATTATAACGTAACTAGATAGCGTATTTCGGTAACTGTTTCTTTGCAAGACGTGGAATTACAACAAAGATAAATGCTGACAGTAATAGACGCTAAATACCGAGTAGTGGCTTGTGGCAACTCGACGGCCAGGGAGTTCGAGACTGGAAGGTTCTGTTCGTACAGTTTTCCCAGAGTTATTATATAATCATCTGATATGCATATTAGAGTATTTAGTGGAGGGATAACTACGTTAGTCTTTGCTTCTGTGGAAAAGTAAGACAGAACTTTGTGCGAATGTATACTTTGGAATAGAAAGTAGGAACAGTAATGCGTAATGATTCTAGGACACAACTGCTCGAACTAACTTATCGGTCGAGCAAATATAGTGATTAAGGCTGGAACAAGGCTTTGGACGTCCAACGGTATCGAAAGTATTAATTATTACGCAAAGCAGAATTTGTATAGAGTAACAAGAGACTATCATAGTTTTATGTTAGTTTTGGGCCCAACTAACCATATATCGGTTTTTCATGGCAAAACAACTCTCTGTTTAAGCAGACAGATATTTATTGCCCCCTCCTTCAAGAAGAATTTAGTACTCCTGTAATCCAGGGCAACTGGAACTATTTTCGACTTGTTATCGTGCCGAAACAGACTTATCTTAAGGGTGTTAAAATGCTAAAGTTGGAAGTATATACAAAATAAAAGCGATTTAAGCGGAAAGTCTGAAGAAACGAGGACTCGAGATACGCCATTTCGGTGTGACAAGTATCCTGCTCGATAGGAATAATTTTC